AGAAAGAAAAAGAAATATAATCAAAACGTATTAACCTTAGTGTAATCCAAACCTCACTGCCGTGTATATCGATTTATTTATTTAAAAGTTAGCCTTATTGTCAATGAGTTGCAGAAATAATTAAATATATTTGTATTAATAGGTTCGCAAATTGATGAGAAAGGTGAGCCTGGGAAAAAAGCGTAACTCAGGACAACCAATTTATAGATAGACAAGCAGCTAATTATTATTATAATTAGAAAATATTTGCAATTCAATAAATAGTCGATGATAATATAATTTGATAAGCTCTCTACATTTTTCATTTCTTGCTATAATTCGACTATTTATGTGTGCCTTATAAATAACTATTATCAGGCGATTTTATTTAATTAACTTTGCTTATACCTTCGTCGTATATCAAATTTTAATTCGTGAAGACAAAAAGAATGAGTAAGAGAAAGAGAGAGAAGCTAAGAGCTGACAAATTATGTTACACAGTGCGTATACGCACCGTGAACAGCATTTTGACTTGGCATCAACTTGCGGCCGGGTGCTCAATTGATAACTGCTATTGGCCTTTGGGCCAGCTGCCTATTAGCGTGCATTTAACCTCGGTTCGCGTCTTGTCCTTCTGAATAACGATCCGGCCATAAATAATTGCAGCTTACTTTTGTTCTCTTTCTGTGGCTGCCTCTCATCTTGCTGAAAAATGACATGGAATTATACAAAAAGGCGCTGAGGCTGACGCTGCGACTGGACGAGTCGGCAACAATTTGAAACTTATAAATTATGTTACATACTTCTCGACGAGCAGCGTGAAAAATTGTTCAAATCGCGGGCGTGGCAATTGCCAAAGTTGCGGGCCAAAACTTTTAATGTCTATCGATAAATTTGCAATTTCCTCAAGCTGGTCACAACCTCATGATCTATGAGATTTACTCAATTGCTTGATACGGCTGAACAAGCGCTAATCTAGTGACAACTTGTTGAGCTATAAATAAAATGTTGCCTCCTGCCTGGCGCAACCATTATCCTATGTGTGCCTGCATGACGGTGTTTGTGTGTATATGTGTTTGTTTGTGTGTTATGTGTGTGTGAGGGTGCTGCCATTGTTTTCTTTAGTTGTGTCGACGCCAGACCGACTACTCAATTAGCCGCCGGCGTTGCGGCCATTGCAGCTGCCTGGCGACTTTGCTAACAAATTGCATTTGTTGCCAGTTGACATGCAGACAGCTACTGATTGTGGGTGGGGGGCGTGTCGGCGGGTCAGGTGGTGGTGTCCAATGGCCAACGGAAGCAGACGCAATTTTTCCCATTGATTGTTTTTAATTAGAGAAACCATCAAACACAAATTAGCCTTGCGTCTTCATTAATGATTTTTATAAAGCCACTGGCATTTATTACACTTGCACACACAGGCCCTGGATCGAAGCGGGGCTGCTTTAAGCAACTAGCAACTAGAACCCCCAAAAAGTGCAGACCGCAATTTGTTGTTGTTGTCAGAATGTTGTTCAACAAACTTTTTGCTTTTAATTTTTTGTATAAGAATTAACTTATTTGGAACATGGCGCTGTTGCGCGTTTCCGCTTCGTGTAGCAATAATAATAATTGCAAAAAGTTTTCAAAGTTTGTTTTTTTATTTCCAGTCTATACCCTGTATTTATTGTAAAGAGGCTTTTACTTGTCCCTTTATTTTGAGCATAGCTCGTGAATAGAGCTTCCGAATAGAACTAAACGCGTTTACACTGGTCTTTTTGTATTACTCGAATGCCATAAAGAATTTTCAAGATTTTTTTTGCAAGCTTGAAGAACAAATGGGGAAAGTGCAGTAAACAACATAAGATTTTGTCTCCCATTATTTGAAACTGGTGTACAGAGTATTAACTGGTCCAGCAGTCTCAATCTAGTTATTCCTACAAGTGTCGGTTTTTTGAATTCCTACGATGCTTGGCAGTGTGTCCAGCGAAGCAGCTGTCTAAACTTTATATTCTGCTTGCGGCTGTCAGATGCAAGTGGCAGGTGGCAGTGGCAAGTTCAACTCAACTGTTTAACTGACCGCGCCATCCGATAAGGTCACAAAAATAGCTCTCAATGTGGAAACTATGTGAGTTTTCAGAGCGCATATTAAAGCACTTGCTCTTTTCCCATAATTTTTTTGTTTTGTTTTTTTTTTTTTTTTTTTGGTGCTGCCCTGAATGACAGGCATCGTTAGCCTTATAAATAATTCAAGAGAGCTCGTGGCTTCTTTGTGTGAAACTTTTGCAAGTGCTTCCCATGCTTATATATATATATGATATTCATTCGCAATCCCTTGTTGCATTTGGCATCTCTTGTTTCTCATTCGGAACATATATTTCATATCTGGTTGAGTTTTTAGTTCTGTCAGTTAATTGTTATTAGTAAAAGTTTTGGCCGCTCCTCACGTCCGCGTTCACATCCTTGTTATCTCTCAGGCTTAACTAAACTTTATCATCTGCTTAGCCCATGCTCTCCACCAGCTTAGTGAAAACTTTTTGCTGGCAATTTCATTTTTGTTAAGACGTTTCAGTCTGGTCTAAGTCCAGTGAAAAGCCAAATCAAAAACCAACGCAACTGAATGACCCCTGTCTCCCTCCTTTGCCTGGGTCTCAGCTGTTGCTAGCTGCTGACCAGCTTGATATTCAAGTTTCTCAAGTTTATTTTACATAATTGCACTGCCACTAAATTAAATGCGTACATGCATGTGTGTGTGTGTGTGTGTGTGTGTGTGTGTGTGCATATGTATGGTGTATGTGTGCTTGGGTCTCTTACACACAGATATGCGCCTTTTCGGTGGAATTTGCTTGCACGAAAAAGTCACGGATAAAAAAAAAGAAATTGTTTCCCTGACAATAATAAATGAGAATAAACGAAGTGAAGAATATCTGAAGCATCTGAAAATAATTTAGAAGCAGATCGAATGTAATTTAATTCTCATGAATTTTCATCCAAAGGACGGATCGTGCGAACAATGTGAAACACGGTTCAGGTACATTTTCTTAAGATCTTTAAATATATGAGTCTGAAACCGATCAGATCATAAATACTTTTCCACATTTGCGGATGGAATTTTCATAAACCCCGTCTTATTGTGCATCTGCATAATCTAAGGTCTTCATGTCGTCTACAGTAAGAACTTCAGCTTCCTACCCCTAACTTGAATTGTAATGAACAAAATCAAATAAGATTAATAAGGTTTCTTTAAAAGACATTATTTTAACTGATCTTTTTCTATACAAATTCTTGTTTCTTTAATGAGCACATGCAATGAAATATCAAACTCTGCTCTCATCTCTTATTGCAGCCGAATTGTTCACTCAACTGTGAGCCATACGTTAAGTACGAGTGATTCCCTCTTCGGCGAGTGTGGGCGTGTATGTGTGTGTGTGGCTGTGTGTGTGTGTGTGTGTGTGTGTGTGTGTGTGTTTGTGTGCAACTAACATTCAAAATGCACACACATTGGATAACGTACTATGATAAGTTGTATGGGTTTTATGGTTCAACCCCGCCCACACAGGCACTCAAAAAACTAGGCGATGGTCAGCGTGTGGAAAGCATTGTGGCATTTATGTATATATATATATATATATATATACATATATATGTGTGTTTCTATATATGTTTATATGCTTAGCTGTAGCATACACTCGAGCGCTGGCAAATGAGAGATGTCCGATTGAGTTTTGATCAATTTTTTTTTTTTTTTTTTTGTTTTAACCTCATCCTGACAGTGTTGAAGATGATTTGCCAAAGATTTGCCTGCTTTTGACATTTATGCCCTGCTGTGCTTCAGCTGCTCCACGTCGTCGTCGTCATCGCCTTCGACCTTGTGCGTTCTTTTTGCCATCCACTCAATTTTCTTGTTACATTTTATGGCTTTGCTATTATTGACAGAGCAGAGGCTCAGAGCTAATGCGAGTGCAGCACTCGATTTAGTCATTGCAATGAGCCTTTTGTGTGGTCACTTGTTCAAAATATTGAATTAAATCAATTCAATTGTGCAGCACAGCTTAAGCATTTAAAGCATACCACAAAGCTATAAAACTCTCCACTCGTTATTCAATTGTCCATTCAGTTTGTTGCCATTCAGTTGGCAAATTAACAATAACGTAAAGTGTCACCAGTTCAGTTTACACGCTTTTTAAAGTCGAACAACTTTGTGCTTTCCATCATTTGCGTCTTTCAATATGGCTTACTCCAGTAAAGTAAAAACGGTATGCAAGCAACGTCGTTAAACCTGCCAAGGCGGACAGCTGTTGCAATTCTCTAACCCAACCCTAACTGCCAATCCCCACAGGAATCCAGCACTGCAAAATGTTCGTTTAACCCCAGACACCTGACGGCACCTCAAGTGTCACGAGTTCAGCAGCAGACACTGTAATATGCCAAATGGCAAAGTAAAATTTCAGTTTATTCCTTCACCACAAATGCAACTGGGGCGTTTGTGGGCTGCATCCTCGATTTCGTAACTTAATCATACGCTATCAATATACGCATAAATTGATCAATTTCCTATTTCTGCTCTTGATTTGGTTTCAAATATGTAATTTTAGCTTGAGGCGTTCATTGAACTGCTGCTAGCCATTGGCCTGAAGGCATAATAACAAGTTACGTTTTAAGTTACCTTTCCAATAAATATTATATTGAGTCAGTGTAAGTCTTTTCATGAGAAGCAGCTGGTCTGGAAAGTGTTCTAAATATAGTTTAAGTGTTAGGTAAATAATTGAACATTTAATAGATTAAGTGTCGCAGGGTTATATAAATTGAAAGAAAAAACAAAAATAAAAGCTGAATATTCAAAATGATTCCAAGAATTTGGTTTGCCTCTATTAAGTATAGTTCATCTTACAACAGCTTAAATTAATTTCGGAAAACCTATTATAGACAAAACTCGATTGGGTTGTGAGAGCTTAGACTATGCAAAAATCAAAGTTTAACATTCTTAGCACACAACGGTTTGACAATTTAAAAAATAATGTATATTTTACTTTGTGTTTCAGGTGGTTCGGACAGCAACAAAGGAAAGAGTAAAAAATGGCGCAAAATATTACAATTTCCACACATATCGCAGTGCATCCACCTGAAGGACAAATTAGGTGAGTAACAAAATAGAAGCAAGGGAAGCAGAATGATAAGAATTTTTGTACTGATTGTCGCATTTTGCTAATCGATAACCCATGCAGACATAAGCTATGGCTACGTGATAGATCAACAGCCCATTGGTCGTGAGCTCTTTCGACAGTTCTGTGAGAACAAGCGGCCCGTTTACTTTCGCTATATTAGCTTTTTGGAACAGGTGGTCAAGTAAGTCAACAGCAGTGGTAGAGGACATCGGAGGTGGCTTATTATAAGGTTGAATTTGTTCGACATTCACAGATATGAGATCGAGTACATAGTGAATCGCATATTCATTGGGCACGACATTGGGCGGCGTTTTTTGGACATTGAGCCGCAGCTGGAGCTGCGCAACGGAGGCGGCGAAGGCCTGGATCAGGAGACACGGGACGAGCTGCTGCTGAACAGCAGCAATGCCAATCCAACTGAAACAGCTGAGACTGAACATTGCAACAATACCACCGCCAACAACTGCAACAACATTAACAACACGAACCATAAGACGCTGCAGCACGACATCCACAATCATAATGGCGAGGATGCGGCGCGGGCGATAAACGGTGGTGATGGCGATGCGGAGAACGATGGCGACGAGGGCGTTGAATGTGAGGACAGTCAGGATGCGGATAAGGGGGGCGGCGGTGTATCTGGCACCGGTTCGGGTTCGCCATCTGATGAACTGGTCCTAGATGTGCTCAACGATGATCTCATTGCACAAGTTCGCAGCAAGCTGAATAGCGGCGGCAAGGATATATTTGCCCATTGTGTGAAGGCCGTGAAGGCGTTCCTGGCTGGCGAACCATTTCGCGAGTTCGAGAACTCCATGTACTTCCATCGGTGCGTGCCGCAGGCCTTCCATTAATACCAATCATTGCAATTGCTTAATCCCCAAATTCCCTTACAGCTACCTGCAGTGGAAGTGGCTGGAGGCGCAGCCAATCACATATAAAACCTTTCGCATGTACCGAGTGCTGGGCAAGGGCGGATTCGGTGAGGTCTGCGCCTGTCAGGTAAGTGGGCAATTGGATAACAGCGTGCACACACGTGTCCATTAATGCCTCGTCTTTTTTTTTTTTTTGTTGCCACTTGCAGGTGCGCGCTACGGGCAAAATGTACGCGTGCAAAAAGCTGGAGAAAAAGCGCATTAAAAAACGCAAGGGGGAATCAATGGTGCTCATTGAGAAGCAAATACTGCAAAAAATCAACTCGCCATTCGTTGTCAATCTAGCGTACGCATACGAGACAAAGGATGCACTCTGCCTGGTCTTGACCATAATGAATGGTACGTATTATCCAGTTAGTGTAGCCCTATAGTAAACTCGGATTTGGAGCGCATAAAAAAAAAAAAAAGAAAACAATGGCACGTTCGATTGAAAGGCCGTGCATAGAATTCACTTGGGACATATGCCCTTTTGGTTCAGTAGATAACGTCCCAGGCATGCCAGCCCACCGGCCACTCCAAGCTTAGTAGACAATGGAAAGTTCCGATTGCAGGCCATGTGCTGGCAGTGCAACCCGTTGATGTTTGCTGCCATGACTTTTAATTCACTGGCACTCTAATTGGGTCTACAGCCAAGGACAGACAGACAGACACACTCACACACACACACACACACACAAACACACATACGTACACGCACACACATGCTCGCATTTGTTGTCTGGTAATCATTACGTCTAACAAGCAGATATCAGTTTTCATTTGCATACATGTAGGAGTTGGAAACAGAACTAGGAGTGGTCGAACTTACAATCAGTTAAATTAAACAGGCGAGTATAATGTTGGCATTATACTCATTTGGTAATATAAAATCACTTATCATATGCAACCCTGCTATGGATATTTAATCAACGATAGATTTATCGATAAAAATACAAGAAGGAGAAGCTCAGTTGTAAGCTAGAAGGGTCAATGAAAAGATGTGTTCGCTGTTGCTCGTTGTCTTTGAAATACATGTCGGAAAATGTACAATAATCATAAGTTTACGCTTGTTCACCAATTTCTCTAAATAAAATAATATGAACATAAAGAACTCAAGTGCTTGTGAAGGCCATCAAATGGTCATCCCTACAAATTTGGTGTCAGAAGTGGGATAGACAGAAATTGTGAAATTCGTAAATTGATTAACGAGTACAAACGTATGCAAGACTATTAATCGGAGCATAAAACGAAGCGGGTGCATGAAAATTCATTAAAATTCGTATGCCCTGGAAAAAATGGAAAAAGTCAAGAATCGTCTAGGATTAATGGCGACAGCGGCGAAGTATGCCTAGAGAGCTCTAGTAAGAGCGAGACAAACAGTCGTGTATTGCGTGACAGTGGTCGATAAGCGCAAGCGAGAAGGCGATGTTTTAAATTCTGCGTAGCAAAGGCTGGATAGCGCAAAATTTTCACTTCGTGATGAAATAAGAAGTTGCAGATCAAAGAGGCGAAGAGCGAAGAGCGCGGAATCTTTCAATAAAAGAGCGTGTGACTGGAACGTGCTTCAACACGACAACGATGATCACAGGGTGTATCAAGTTACAGATCAACAACAGAGTATGTTATTTCGTCATTATATGAAAATAATTAACTAGTTGTTGAGTAAAGAGTGTTAAATCAGTAAAAAATTTTCAAAGAATCAAATTATAACAAAGAAGAAATTAAGTGTAAGCAAACACAAAGTGAAAGTATAAGTTAAGACAGACGAATATAATAATTTAATAATTTCTAAAGTTGCTGAAAAAAAAAAAAACTAAAATTTGATTCATAAGAGTTTAATTACTTATACCATTAAGTTAAGTACATTGAATTGTTTATTTGTAAGATTCAATTTTAAGCATTGTGAAAAGCGAGCAACGACGATAACAAAATGAACAGAGACGAAATTTTGGCGTTAAGAGTTAACGAATTAAAAGAAAAGTTATCGGCACTTAGTTTGGTAACAACAGGTAGAAAGCAAACTTTGCAAGACCGACTTTTAGAATATTATGGGTTGCAGGTTGACGATAATGAATCTGAGTATGACGATGCTGGGTCGGCTCATACCCGTCAAAGCTCACCAATGCAGATAGTCCGAACAACGTTTACATTACGCGACATTGAAGATTCACTCTCGCAATTCAATGGGTCAAATCAACCAGCTGTTGAAAAATGGATTCATGAATTTGAAGATAACGCTTTGGCAGTGCAGTGGAACGACCTTCAGAAATTTATTTACTCAAAGCAATTACTAAAAGGTGCAGCAAAATTATTCGTGCGCAGTCAGCATGGAATTTCAGATTGGATATCTTTAAAGCAAGCGCTATTGGAAGAATTTGGGACGGTAGTCTCATCAATAGACGTCCACCGCATGTTGCGGAATAGGCGTAAGCGTCAAGGTGAAGATTATATAGAATATCTGTATAGCCTTATGGAAATTGGCGGACCTCTTAACCTGGATGACTCAAGCCTGATAGAATATTTTATTGAGGGAATACCTGACTCGAGGAGTAACAAAAGTAATCTGTATCAGGCCAAGACTCTGCAGCAACTAAAAGAACAAATCAAGGTATATGAGAAAATCCGTAGTAGTCGCCCTCAAGCGTCTAATACGGGTAGGATGCATAACGATACCGAAGAAAAGAAACCTGACTTGAATAAAGAACGAATTAAGAAATGTTTCAAATGCGGCGATCCATCACATCTAGCCAGAGAATGTAGACAGCCAATAAAATGTTACAAGTGTGCTCAACCAGGGCATAAGGCAGCTAACTGTTCAGGATCGCGTGCAGTGGAGAAGAAAGAAGGCCAAAATGCGAACACGATGATAAACAAGGCCAACAGTAGTGGAAAATGCATTTTTAAGGAGTTGTCTTGTAAGAACATATGCTTCTCTGCATTAATCGATACAGGCTGTGACCTCTGTCTGATACGCGATGATATCCTTAAAGAGCTAGGAAAAGTTGAACTGAATAATGAAAAACAGTGTCTTGTTGGTATCTGTAATAGTGAGCTAAATACACTGGGAAGCTTTGTCACTCAAGTCGAAGTTGATGGTATCTTACTGGATATAACCTTTCATGTTACGAGCAGAGACGACATCCAATACTCAGCTGTAATAGGAAACAGCGTATTGAAGCAAGCGGACTTAATAGTATCGGAAAATTTCGTAGAATTTCGACCCAAAGTGAAGGACAATGCAAACGAGAGAGTAATTGACAAGACATCAACAATAACAGAAGATACTGTCGAAAATAAGAAGCCAGACATAGAGCTTTTACAAGAATTCAAAGATGTATGTTTTTTTGCAGAAAATCAGGAGGCTGAGATCGATCTACATCACTTAGAAAAACCTGTTGCAGACGCAGTTCAAGCAATGATTAAAAACTATTCACCTGAAATGAAGAAGAAATGTCCAATTGAAATGAAAATTTTGTTAAATGATGAGCGTCCAGTTTTCGAACGCCCAAGGCGCATATCACATGCGGACAAGTCTATTGTCGATTCGCAAATCAAAACTTGGCTAGAAGAAAAGATCATACAGCCAAGTACATCGGAGTATGCATCTCCTGTTGTCCTCGTTCCGAAAAAAGATGGTACCAAAAGATTGTGCTGTGACTACAGGCGTTTAAACGAAAAGATCGCGAGGGACAATTTTCCAATGCCCTTAATAGACGATGTGATTGAGAGATTGCAGGGCCAAAGTGTGTTTACTACACTTGATCTCGCAAACGGATTTTTTCATGTTCCAATTGAGCCAAATTCGAGAAAATTTACATCATTTGTAACAAGTGCAGGGCAATATGAATTCCTGTTCGTCCCTTTTGGAATATCGAACTCCCCAGCTGTATTTTCCAGATTCATTCATGCAATTCTTGTAGATCTGGTACAGGATGGTACAGTCGTAACTTATATGGATGATCTTATAATTCCCTCCAAGGATATAGATGAAGGTATCCAAAAGTTAAAGCGCGTACTGGACAGAGCAGCAGAGTTTAACTTGCGTATTAAGTGGAGCAAGTGCCAGTTTCTCATGAAGGAAGTTGACTTTTTAGGGTACGTTATACAGGGAGGCACAATAAGACCATCTGCAAGAAAAACCCAGGCAGTTCAAAATTTTCCTATACCGCATGACCGAAAGAGTTTGCAGCGTTTTCTCGGATTAACATCGTACTTTAGGCGCTTTGTAGAAGACTATGCGCTGATAGCCAAACCGCTCTCCGATTTGTTACGGAAAGACGTGCAATTTAAAGTTGATGAAGAACAACTAGTCGCATTCAGGCAATTAAAATCAGCATTAGTTAGTACTCCAGTATTGCGATTATATAATCCGAAAGCCAAGACTGAAGTGCATACGGACGCCTCAATGAATGGTTATGGTGGTGTACTCTTGCAAAAAGACTCGGACGATCAATTGTTGCATCCAATTCAATATTTAAGTCGGAAAACAAAACCCTCAGAAGAGAAGTATCATTCTTATGAGCTTGAGGTGCTGGCTATAGTCGAGGCCTTGAAAAAGTGGCGCGTTTACTTACTTGGCATAAAATTTAAGATTGTGACCGACTGTAACGCTTTCGCTTTGACCATGAAAAAACGTGGAGATATTCCATTGAGAGTCTCGCGTTGGGCACTCTTCCTTCAAGATTTTGACTACAGTATTGAGCATCGAAATGGCAGCAAAATGAGGCATGTTGATGCTTTAAGCCGCGTATCCTGTCTTATGCTTGAAGACTCACTGCAGCACAGATTGCAGCAAGCACAAGCGAGAGATGATTGGGTCCGAGCGGTGCTAACTGTTTTGGATTGTAGCACATACGAAGATTTTTATGTTAGGCATGGTATTTTATACAAGGATCCCATCAAGGAACTTATAGTAGTACCATCGCTGATGGAAGACGAAATCATAAGAATTGCACACAAGCAAGGGCATTTCTCAGCGAAACGAACTCAAGAAGCAATCGAGAAGACATTCTATATTCCGCAGCTATCGTCAAAAGTGCCAAAAATTGTAAAAAGTTGCGTAGAATGCATAATATCTGAGAGCAAATCAGGCAAGAAAGAAGGGTTTTTGGCACCAATTGACAAAGAAGACAAGCCCTTAGGCACGTACCATGTGGATCATGTCGGTCCAATAGAACAGACAAGTAAAAACTATAACTATATTCTAGTGATAGTCGATGCGTTTTCAAAATTTGTTTGGCTCTATCCAACAAAAAATACCACCGCAGAAGGAGTTGTAGATCGACTAAGACGGCAGGCAGCAGTGTTTGGAAATCCTAAGCGCATAATATCAGATAGGGGTGCAGCTTTCGTTTCAAACCTGTTCAAGGAGTACTGTGAAACAGAAGGTATACAGCATCTTACGATAGCTACAGGAGTTCCAAGAGGAAACGGCCAGGTAGAACGTATACACAAAATCGTAATACCAATGTTGTCTAAACTATGTCGTGAAAATCCTTGTAGCTGGTATAAGCATATTGATATCGTTCAACAAACAATCAACAGTACGCCGCCAAGAAGCACTAAAGTTTCACCGTTTAGATTGTTGACTGGTGTGGAGATGAAACTTAAAAGAATATCGGACTTGCAAGAACTATTAGAAGAAGCTGCTATAGAGGAGCTAAGTAACGAAAGAGAAGAAGTTCGTAAAGAAGCGCGGCAAAATATAGCAAAAATACAGCAGGAAAACCGAAAATCTTTTAATAAACATCGCAAAAAAGAGTCCAATTATAAAATAAACGAACTTGTAGCCATTAAGAGAACACAGTATGGTACTGGTTTAAAATTGAAACCTAAATTCTTTGGTCCATATAAAATAGTAAAGATTCAAAACCATGGTAGATATGACGTAGAAAAGGTAGGCGACCACGAAGGTCCAGGGAAAACTACAACTGTAGCAGAATACATGAAAAAATGGGAGCCAAATGCTAATTTAACAGAAGAGTCGTCATTCGGGTCGAATGAAGAGTCAGGATGGCCGAGTGTAGGAGTTGGAAACAGAACTAGGAGTGGTCGAACTTACAATCAGTTAAATTAAACAGGCGAGTATAATGTTGGCATTATACTCATTTGGTAATATAAAATCACTTATCATATGCAACCCTGCTATGGATATTTAATCAACGATAGATTTATCGATAAAAATACAAGAAGGAGAAGCTCAGTTGTAAGCTAGAAGGGTCAATGAAAAGATGTGTTCGCTGTTGCTCGTTGTCTTTGAAATACATGTCGGAAAATGTACAATAATCATAAGTTTACGCTTGTTCACCAATTTCTCTAAATAAAATAATATGAACATAAAGAACTCAAGTGCTTGTGAAGGCCATCAAATGGTCATCCCTACATACATTCATTACAGTTATAACAAATGAATTGTGAATGTGGACGAATGTCAATAAACGTGCAGTGCTCGTTAATGTTATTGGTCCTTTTAATTAAATTCCAACATACATTTGGTTCATTGATCAATAGACATCCCATTATCAAATGATGCTGACATTCAGTAGCTTATTTAATTTACCCACAGGCGCTGCTCGTCTTTCAATTAAAAGCTTTGTTAGCGCTACTCGAATGTATTTCATTATATTTAATATTCATTTTGCAGGTGGCGATTTGAAATTTCACATTTACAATATGGGCGGCGAACCGGGCTTTGAGCTGGAACGTGCTCGTTTCTATGCTGCCGAGGTGGCCTGTGGACTGATGCATCTACACAAGCAGGGCATTGTCTACAGAGATTGCAAGCCGGAGAACATACTGCTGGATGACCATGGGCACGTCCGAATCTCCGATCTGGGCCTGGCTGTGGAGATACCCGAGGGAGAAATGGTGCGAGGACGAGTCGGCACAGTGGGTGAGTAGCAATTGGCTTACGAAACAAAAACCAAACAAATCTTACAAATCTATACACCTGCTAGGCTACATGGCGCCGGAAGTTATAGACAATGAGAAGTACGCTTTCTCGCCTGATTGGTTCAGCTTTGGCTGCCTGCTGTACGAAATGATCGAGGGTCAGGCGCCGTTTCGCATGCGCAAGGAGAAGGTCAAACGCGAGGAGGTGGACAGGCGTGTCAAGGTGCGTTTACAGTTGTAAAAAGCAAAGCAAATCTGTTTACTTTAATTGTAAGTATTCTATTCTATTAATCGCAGGAGGATGCCGAGAAGTATTCGAGCAAGTTTAATGATGAAGCCAAATCAATGTGCCAACAGCTGTTAGCTAAATCGATAAAGCAACGCTTGGGCTGCCGCAATGGGCGTCTCGGCGCCCAGGATGTGATGGCGCATCCGTTTTTCCACTCCACACAGCTAAACTGGCGACGCTTAGAGGCGGGCATGCTGAAGCCGCCCTTTGAGCCAGACGTAAGCAATACCTAAAACTGAATCAATAACTCGCCCGCTAACAATTAATTCCTCGCCAACAGCCGCATGCCGTTTACGCCAAAGATGTGCTCGATATTGAACAGTTCTCAACTGTGAAGGGTGTCAATATCGACGAATCCGATACGAATTTTTATACGAAATTCAATACGGGCTCTGTATCCATTTCATGGCAAAATGAAATGATGGAAACCGAATGCTTTCGCGAACTGAACGTTTTTGGTCCCGACGAATGCCCCACGCCCGATTTGTTGATAAATGCCGTACCGGAACCGGATAAGGCGGGCTGTTTTCCGTTCAGGCGCAAGGTATAAGTTAAATCACCTATTCACTTTATCAAAGCTGACAATTCTCTTTGTTGTGTTTTTGTTTGCAGAAGAAGCAGCCGGCTCGCACACAGCCCATACCCATTCCTGAGCACCTGCTTACCACTTGTCACAGCGTGTCATCCACAACGGTCGAGAGCTGATAGCATACAAAAGCTAAAGCCCAAACGCCTAACGTACCCACATAGCACAAACTGTAACCCATACGCACACAGTTAGCATCCAATCCTAACCCCAGCCCCAGCAGTTTGGGGCGAAGCGTACAAAGCGCAGCACAACTGAAACTCATTGCAATACACGAACAACAACAACAACAACAAGGACGACGAGGGCGAGAAGCATTTTTAAAATTCTCTATATATATATATATGTATATATATATATATGAATGTATTTTTTACATTAATTTTCTAATGGAAACACTGAATTGAAGAAAAAAATGCAAGCACATTTCTCTAAACTACATATAAATACACAATTATATTTATAAATGATTCAAAAAAGAAAAGACTTACACGAACACAACATGAATACACTGAGAGCAACGCACGTTAAGTGGACACTTTAATGATTGTAGCATACCATACACCATACACCATACACCATATACCATACCGTACTTAGGTATTATACGAGTAGGTTAATATGGTAATTCGAAAGCTAGAGAGCGAATACTAAACGAAAGGTAAAACAATAACAAAATAATAATTATAATAATAACAATAATAATAATTAAAAGCCGCAATCCAAATTGGCCGTCAGTTTGTCATAGCACCTAAAGTAATGTTACTTAAAATACATACAATTGTATGCTATTTAAATATGTATACAGCAACTACTTTTAATTAATAATACATACATACATACATATACACACTCTTACACATTTCTATATATGTAGATGGCAATCTCGGGGCGATGCCAGAGCAAAGAATGTAATATTTGTAAAGTAGTTTTTGTGCTCAACGTGTTTTTGCTAATGTGGGGGGAGCAGCGTCGGGCGGAGGATCGGACGATTGGACGGGCGAAGGGCTTATGCGTCAAGTGTTTTTAGTTAGCATTTTAAAGGCCGTTAAGCAAATGACATAAATACTCGAAAAACTTTAATGCATTTTTAATGAAATACTTAACACATACAAACGTACATACAACTACATATATATGGCATATATAAATCTATAAAAAAAATCTATGTAAATGTTTACACATGAATATAAATGTAAATTTTTTTCTCAATTGCCGCACAATTTTCCTACGCTTTTCAATGCTCTTCAATCTATTCTGTTGCCTAAGTTTAAGCTGACTGCAATTTGTTCATTAAGGTTTTGAGAACGTGATTACTGATATTTTTTTATTGTTTTGTCATGCAATCATTTTGCATACATACTAACATATGTATGTATGTATATACATTGACATACTGCAAATGATGCCAGCTAATTTCTAATTGAGACGTCGGCTAGTGTTTAAGAGTTCCGTGTATAAATGTGTAGTGTAGGCATTTTTGTAATTAGCAACAAAAACAAATATAAAAACACACAAATAATTTGAGAATTTATTATCTTACTCATTAAATGCAAATCATTCATGCAATGCGAATGCGACTGCAATTGCGAACGCCACGCGCAACATTTAGTTACAATTCAATTGATTTTTTTGGCACAACTAGCTTATTGTAGGGTATACAATGGCAGCCAGCAGCAAGCAAGTTACATACATATTTCAATAAAAAGCACAGCTATCAGCACAAAACAAAAACCACAAAAAGAACAAAAAAAAAAAAATAAAAGTAAAAATAAATAAAATAAACGCCACAAGCTCGAAAAAACGCATAATTGAATTTTAGCACAAAAGAAACAAAGCAAGCGCCTAAATATTTATCTATAGTAATTAAAGGCATATTTATAGATCATAATAAATACCAGATATACAAACATAGAAACTACTGTGTAAGAGCAATTAAATGCAAAACAAAAATAAAACAAACATTCAACAAACACAAAACAACAATAAACGTATTTAACTACAACAATTGGGAACCGTCATTTTATTCATTAGTTCAACAAAAGATAATTCGACAACTATCTTTTGTAAATTGATTGAAAGGCTGACAATGGTAATACTCATAACTAGCGAGTATTACCCGCCCGTGCATAGGTTTCTAGCCTTGCTCAAAGAATGAAAACTGATTTTTTAATATTTACAAAAACTTGTAAATTTAAATAAATTTGCTAGCTTCACGAGAACAATCAGCATACATAAAATAATATGAATACATTGATTTATTATTGACTTTATGTTCCATATCCCAATTCCCAATCAAATATTTTTTATAAAATTGTAACTAAATCAATAACGGCTTTCGTTTACAATTGGTGACCCTTGTGCTTATTACTTCGCCCGTATAATAAAGATCGCACTCGGCACCATTGTTTTCGAAAGACCTCTCGCCAAGCATATACTCGGGATTTAGGGCTACACGCAGTATATACCTATTATTAACGGGCACAGTGGTAACATCTACCCACTGGCAATCTAGCACATGACTATACACATCCGCGCAGCCAGCGCTGATACCTATCAATGGGTCAGCATTAAGGATGGACAGGACATGACTGTGATAAACAAGAGTGAACTTACCTTGGGTGGTATTGCCACAGGTGTATTTCCTGCGTATGCCCAAATTGCACTGGGAGTCCATCAGACAGAAGGAGGCCTTGTGACCCTGGGCCACCTTTTGGTAGCGCTGATTGTACACGTCGAATGTGGCGAAGACGTTCATGCTGTGGTAGTGCATATGACACTGATGCCATTCCCAGTCCTTGTAGTTGGCATAGGGACTAACGTCGGCATTGCCCACATTGGAGGCCTTGACCGAGAAGCGCAGCAACTTGCGGATACCTCTGGGATTTGTTCTTCGTACAACATACGCATCCTTCGACACACAATTTTCCTCCATGGCGCAGGTCAGCTCTGTCATGGGCACATTTGCCAAGTATGCGCTTACTTCAATGTCCACCAGACCAAGCTCCAGATCCGGTGATTTACTCACACAGGCCACTGTACTCACATTACGATTGGTGGCATGGCATACAGTGGGATATGTCGACTCCCGATGGCATTCCGATAGTTTGAGCTCGGTGCCGCGACAAAGAGTGCCCACCATGCCCCAGGGATGTGTTCTGCTGTTACCGTGCTTTGTGCTGGGCATGGCCATGGAGGCATAGCCCAGACCCAGCTGCTGACACACAACATTTCCCTCGCGCTTTGTCCACTTTGTGCTGCAAATGGTACCCCACGTAACGCCATTGTCAAAGCTCACCTCCACACGGCCCTCACGCAGCGGCTGGTTCGCAGTAGCAGTAGTATTTGTACTGGCCAGGCGCACCTTCATATTACGAAAATTGTTGCTCACATTCAACTGGCAGCTGCATAGACTCAAGCTGAGCAGCAGCAGCAGCGGCACAGCCAGAGATCGCGTATGTAACTCCATTCTCTCCTGCTCTAGGTCTATTGGGGTTCTCGCGACCGTCCCTCAGCTTTAAAGCATGGGCAAACAATAACGAAAACGATGAAAACAAATAATAATTGAACAAAAAACATGTGGATAAACTCTGGAGCCTTATTGTGTAAAGATAGTGTGCTTTGTATTTACGTTCAGCGCCTATTTACATATACAAAAGCCAGTTGGCTGGTCGCCCATATTTTTGTGGTTCCGTGTGTGTGTCTGTGTGGTGCTCTTTGCAACTGGAGTGCATTCGTTTAACGCAAATATTAACAACAACAGCAGCAAAAAATTGTGCGGCTGTTATAAATCAAGCAGCTTGGTAATCTCTGCCTTGAGCGCTGACGGCTTAAAGACGCCATGCTCAGTGATGATGCCAGTTACAAGTGAAGCGGGCGTTACATCGAAGGCGGGATTCCAGCAATTGATGCCCGGCGCCGCAATGCGATGCTCGCCAACGTGTGTCATTTCGCGATCGGGTCGCACCTCGATTATAATGTGATCACCGCTGGGTATTTGCAGATCGACGGAGGTCAACGGTGCGGCTACATAGAAGGGCACGCCATGATGCTTGGCCACAACGGCTATTTGATAGGTGCCAATTTTATTGGCCGTATCTCCATTGGCAGCCACCTGGTGAAAGGAAGAGTGATATTGATTAAGTTGCCAAGCAGAGAGCGCAAAAATATGTTACCCGATCAGCGCCGACGACTACAGCAGCTACATTCTTTACACGCAGCAGCGCCGCTACCATGCTGTCCAGCACCAGGGTGGCGGGTAGTTTTTCGTGCACCAACTCGTAGGCGGTTAGGCGTGCACCCTGGTTGTACGGCCGTGTCTCCGTGCAGTAAACATGTTCTGTAAGGAGAAAGAGGAACACTAATCAGCTGCTCGCATGACTGGCCATTTTGCCTTTCGCTTTTACCCAGCTTGCCCAGTTCGCTGAGGTGCCGCACTACGCCCAGCGCTGTGCCGTAACCTGCTGTGGCCAGGGATCCAGTGTTGCAGTGCGTCAGCACACGCACAGGACCAGCTGCGGCCGCACTAGCCGACTCTGCCACATGCTCAAGTATGGCCTTGGCCCCATTGGCGCCAATCGCGCGATTGTCGGCAATGTCTTTTTCCAGCATGGCCTCGGTGGCGTTCAGGAATCTTGAATAACATTGGAATAATGGCTGCGCCTTGTCTTTTGAAGTTGCCTTTGCGATGTATGTTTTACCTTTGCTTCATATCTTCCACTGTCACGTTATCATCCTTGGTGAGCTCATTGGCCAGCGTGATTAGTTCGTCGGCGGAAATTTTCATGTTGACCGCTGTGGGTCGTGCGGAGACTAAATAGTTTAGTTTGCCCTCAATTTCCTGACGTAGCGATTTTTTGCTGCCAAACTCCTCCGGATAGATTTCGACGGCCAGCGAGAGGCAGCCCACAATGGCAATGGCCGGAGCGCCCCGTACCTATAAAGGGAGTAAACAAACCAGAGATATATGCAATTAATGAGTGGGTGCAGGTCTAGGGAGTATATCAGTATCATCTGCTGCTGTGTCAACGCTCTTATCTGGCCATAAACTCTTTATAGCCACATTATATAATGGGTCGCCACAGTCCACGTGATGAGCCGCATGCGTGCTCTTTGCACAAGCAGCAGTAAACAACTAGGAAATTATCTCTCGCTCTCGCAGATTCTATTTGTTTAACCAAAAACTAAATAATAACGAAGAAGACGAACCCAGAGCTTGGTCACATATTTAGTTGTGGTAATAACTAGAGGGCATGCCACTTAAATGAGCAAACCACAAACAATTTCGTTTTAAGCAAGATGCAATTAATTATGATGATGATGTGTTTGCACACGTTTTGATGCTTGGCAAGCAATTTACAAGAATTATTTAATTTATTTTTCTATAAGAAAATTAAATGCCGTTATTTATAGAGCGTCAAATGGTAATTTGTACATGATTAAGGGATTGAACAAGACAGGAATTTATACAGGTTTAGGGATTGGTATGTCTATTGGATAAGATTATTGCTGCTTACCTGCATCTTATTGATGACCTTCCAGCCGTCCTCAACGCCGCGCACGGTTAGATACTTGGAGACGACGGGCAGCAGCAGCTGATCAAGTATCTCCAGGCTGCCACGCTGATATTTGATCGATTGTAGGCTCATCCTTTACAATTTGTACTATGCGACTAACTGTAAGAGAAATGCAAAAGCAAATTATTAGGAAAGATCTCGCGGTTTGATGCCCAAAAACAGACCAAACTAGTGGGCGGCGGCAGCTATTCAGCTGGCGTCAGAGCTCCAACATTTATGTCAGAATTTATGGCCAGAGAATGTATGTATGTATGTATGTGTGTGTGTGTGTGTAAGCGTATTTATCAATTGATCAATATTAATCAAATGAAATGCCAACGCCAATGTCAGGACAGTCGGAAATTGCTGGGGCAGATGCAGACTTCGTCTGACAGGCGAACGCTTCCCTTAGCTACTGAACGATTGCGATGCGAATGGACCGCGACCAATTCGCAAACAGTTTGGCAATAAGAGAGAGCAGCGCAATTAGCCAGAGACACGGGCAGGCGGAAAGAGAGCGAGAGGGAGAGTGAGAGTGAGAGAGTCTGATTGGGAGTGCTGGGACTGTGCTAGTTTAGAGTCTAGACTGTATAGACTGTATAGAGCGTCGCGATGGCTAAGCGATTAATTCAACTTGTCACAACTTGCGTATCCGTTGCAAATTGATAAAGGCGTTGTCAACGTTGACGGCGACGGCGACGACGACGCTGGCGTTGACTTTAACGCCGGCGTTGCTTCAGCCGTCAGCACGTTGTCGAGCTTTTGATATTTTTGCTTTTATATGACAGGCAACAGCAAATCGGACAGCGACGCTTATCTTGCATACATATGTATGTGCTAACATATATGTATTTGCTATTCAAATGCCTTGATAATTCTCAGAGAAGCGTAATTTATGTGGCTGCAATTAGTTGTGCGCGCTGTAAGTGTCAACCAAGAACTTGGCGTTGGTTCGGTGCCAAATTTGTGTTTAACATATTTATGCACACACAAACACAAAGCACACGCACAAGCACAGGCACAGGTAAATATTAGCGGCAAGCAACTGGTGGTCCCGGCAATGACAGTGACAGCGGTAGTTTTGAATCCTGACATCTGTTTAGTCCACCCTATTCAATGTGTTGAATCTATTATGCACTTGCCTTATTTTATGAATTTTAAATTTAAATCAAACACTTGTTTCACTTTACAGACGAAAGAAATTGTAAACAGAAAAGGTAAACAAAGCAAGGGTAGCAGACTGTATGACCATGTGTTTTTTTTTTCAAAGTGTGACCAGCTATTCAAGGCATGTTATGTTGTCGATAGAAAACACCTGATAAGCGGCAGCTCGATAAATTCCTCTTGTATTTGACGAGACAATAGTATTTGCGCAAAATGTTATGAAACACGCCGGCTTTCTTTTTACTCACTGTTTTGTTTACGTATCCAAGACTTATGGTTTGTTCATTAA